ATAAAAAGACCCACCCAAAATCTAACTAGGTCTATATGTATGTGGTGAAGACAAACAAAAAAAAAACAACCCCCCAAAAAACAAACAAACAAACAAACAAAACAAAACAGGCTGAAAAAACTCACCAGTATGCGGCGATGAGGAGAAGGGCGACACAGCGCTGCTGGCCTGGGAGGGGTAGTAGCTTGGGTGGTGCATGGGCAGTCCGGGTTCGAATCTTCTCACATAGATCTACGGCTTTTACACTTGAGATAACACAACCTGCTTTTCTCGTCCGTCCCTCTCCTTTGGGTCAACGCCTCTGTACTGTATGACCGTTTCCCCGTTTGTTCTTCGTTGTTTTTACTCAACTCGGCGAGAAATCTTCCTCTTGTTCTTGTTAAAGTATATCTTTCTTTTCAAACATTAAACCATAAAACCAAAATCAAGTAGATCTATCACAAACGATCCCAGTTTTGGAAGGCCTAAATAAAATTTAAAAAACTCAGCAAGAATGTTACGTCGTTTTCGACAGCAGATAGATATAATCAACTCTTGTGCGTCCTTCGAATGCCGCTTGCTCAAGTACAGAAACACAGGCAAAAATCCACAAGCGAGTCTTTCAAGTCAATTACTGTAGTGCTGTTTGAATCCCGCGTTTGAGAAATTCGACACTACGCAAGCAAAAGTAGTAAATCAACACAAAGTTGAGCCCAGAATTCGACGACACGGTGCAGAATCAGAAATTCGACGCTACGAAGAATGAGAAATTCGACGTTCGCAGAGTCAGAAATTCGACACAACGCACAGACTCAAGGATTCGACGTTTGCAGAGTCAGAAATTCGACACAACGCACAGACTCAGGGATTCAACACTAACTCAAAATCAGAAATTCGACCGACACTTCGTTGAGCCAGAAATTGGATAACTCACAGCAGTGCCAACAGAAGAAGAAGAAGAAGAAGACGTCCCAGTGTGTTCGTTCCCCTCACGTGTATGAACTACTCACGGCCTGGGGTCAGTAGTGACATTCTTGACTCACTCAGTTCGCTGATAGCTCTGGATCACCACAGTGCTGGAAAAGATGTTAATGGAGATTATCACGTGAGTAATGCAATGACGACATTAATGTATTCATTTATTCATTTTTTGTCGTACAAACACAGAACCCCACCCCGTCTCC